TAAACCATTCGGCCCGCGATTTAGGCTGGATTTTAGATTTTGGCCCCTTCTCTGATTGAGTTCGATACCCCTACTCTAAGGCATTGCTTCTGGTTCCTTTGTAACTAATACCATCTGGATGGCGTCCAAGATCCTCCTTATTCTGAATTCTCTTCTATAGCAACGAAGTCATATTATTGTTACTGTGATCTGGCCATGACCCTCGGCTGTTCTAAAGACCCTGCTGGTGCTCTTCCCCGGGGCAGACTGTTACTCAGATAGAGTGGTTCCAGGTGTGCCTGTGCAGGTGTGGTGAGGGCTGGGGAGAGTGCTTCCCAAGCCTGGCACTGGATTGCCAAGTGGGCTGAGCTCCCTCCTGGTCTCCGGAGAGCTAGAAGAGAGCCATGGTCAAGGTGGGCCCACTCCTGCCTGCAGGCCCGTCTAGACCAGCACATGCGTTGTTCTAAGGCTGCTCTCCAGGGAAAGGGTGGGGGACAGAGGTGGAGCGGGAGGGGTCTTGGCTTCTAGGGGACAAAGCAAGATTAAGAAAACTTCATAGATTAGTGCAGTGGTCAGCAAACTGCAGCTCGTGAGCCAAGGATTGCCGCTCTGTTGACTAATGAGTTTGCCGACCACTGGGATAGGGGCTTAATCTCAAGGAACAAAAACGGCCTATACTTATTGGAATCGAGAGTCTAGATCAGAGGTCAGCAAACTCATTAGTCAACAGAACGGCAAACCTACCACTGCACTCAAGTTTCTAAGTTAGCATGTTAGCCATATTTCCAGTGACTGGCACCGCAGTGTTTTCTCAAGAGTGTTCTGGGGAACACCAGCTTCAGAAGGCACTTTGCAGAAATGGGGTCCCATTGTCAAATTCATGTGAGGAAGACCAGAAGCTACATCTCCCTTTTGTCAAAGGCTGTGACACGTCCCACATAGATGAACCCAGTACTCCGGAAACTCAACTAGGAAAGGGAGAGCTTCCTTTACATGAATGACACTGACTAACATCCCACAGGACACACTCAGGAGATGGGCGACAAGGCCGTGGGGTCCCAGCCCAAAGTAATTTCTCACCTCGCAGGGCTCTCCCTCTGAAAGATGTGTTATGCTCCCGGTGGCACCAATCCAGGCACTCTCCTTGGCTTTGCCAGTCTGGACCTAGGTGTCTTCTCACTTTTTACTATGTTGTTTCATTAGAAAATGCTTCCCAGCTGATAGCAAAGGGAGTGACCAGTGGAAGATTTCCATCACTGCAGGGTCCCCAGGACCTCCCACCCAGGGAAGTGGGAGACCATCCTTTCCTGGCTGGCAGACCCGGGAAGCTGTCACCTGTCTGTGCTGATGTGGGCCTGGGTTTGTCCAAACTCAGAGAAGCTCCTGATTTTTCTCTCTCTTTTCCCTCAAAAGGATTTTTTTCTCCAATTTCTATTTTAAAGGACCAGGACTTGTCTAACACAATGGAAGTCCTAAGGAACCCAAAAAATACATTTTGAACCAGGTGCTAGTCAAGACAGGTTTTCTGGTTTCTTTCTTGTGCTCAGCCTCCACACCTGCGTAGTAGGACCTCGCCCCCTTCCCTTCTCTCCTGGCTCCACCTGACCACTAACCAAGGGCTTCTGAAATACTTCACTCCACCCTCTCCAGTCATGTTTAACTGTTCCACTCTTCTTTGAATATTCACACACACATACACAGGCACATACAGAAACACATGCATGCACACACCTACATACACACATGCACACACACACACACACAGACACACTTACAGAAACACACACACACAGTCTCCCACCCAGTCCCATTCCAATCTGACGCTGTCCTTCTTCCCACCTTTACCTAGGTGCAGACAGTTTGGCACAGTCTAAGTAGGAATGCGGGTGAAAAAGGTAGGGATTTCTTTATCTACCTGTCAGCGCCTCTTCATTATGGACGAGCTCATTTAAAATGTGGAGACTTTGCCTCCCACTGTCCATACCCCAGGAGGATCTTTTTTCCCTGCAGATGTTCATGTACTTGCCCACATCACAGTGACAAGAGGCCATTCCTCCTAGGTGGGCACAGATGGGCATGTGCCTATCAGTGCCCCGTGCATCCAGAGTGAGGATGAGAGGCGGAGAAGCAGAGGAGGCCCAGTGCCCCACGAGGAGCCAGAACCCCAACAAGGAAAAGACAGCAAGAGGATAAAGGAACTCAGACGGAGGAAGACGTGGTTCTGTCCGCCTCCCAGGTGAAGAGTGGGTTTCCAGGAATCCTCTCACAGGTTCGCAGTGAACTCTCCCTTATCAACACTCTCCCTGGACCTTTTTGTTCTCTTTAGTTTTGGAATCATGCACAGCAGGTAAACTGCCGACATTTATTATCTCTGTCACAAAACACGGCTTCGAATTGTTGGTGAGCAACTGGTGGTCCCACAGGAGGGGGACAGGAAGCCGGAGGAGATCTACTGTGGGGGTTGCGGGGGTTGGGGATTAGAAATGGTGGCAGAGCTGGGGGGGGGGAAGCAGACAAGGGGGCAGGGATCGGTTTGGGGACCCACCATTCTTGACCACATCTGTTTAAATTCAGCCATGGTAAAACATGAGCCCACGGGAGGAGGGTGTCCTCCCTCCCCCTCCGCCTCCCCATTCCCCAGCTCCAGGCCCAGCCCAGAACAGGAATCAGATCCATGGAGACAGCCTATAGCCGAGGGGGGAGACGGAACCAGGCAGTCAGGGTCGCTGGCTGGCTCCCCTGTGTCCCCTGGGTGAGAAGTGGGAGCAGTGTGAGTGCAATGTTTACCTCACACCTGCATGCCCCCATGGGACTTGAGTTAAAGCCTTGTGTGGTCATCACAGACTTGACTCCCTTTGGAGCTTCAGTACCCTTGGATGTGCCACAGGATGTGTCTAAGCCCATTTTGTTAGAAACTTGGAGCTTCGCCGAGCCTCCTCCACTTGATGTCTGGGAACAGATGAGATGACCATGGACTTGGGCCCCAAGGTCCCCCTTGCCCTGCTGGCAGGGAGCCGGGCTGTAGGTTCCTCACACCTGAGCCCAGAGGAGCAGATATCAAGGAACAAAGGGACATCTGAGCTGGTCATTCCTCTCCACACAGTCCCGGGGCAACGCCAGCAGTCCCCCAGGCAGGACCCAGAGGAGGAGTGGTTTCGGGGGGTGTGTGTGTGGAGGGGGGCGGGGGGTTGGCAGCTGTGCCTGGCAGTCTGACTCTCCTGGCTTCAGGGTCTGGCAGCATTGCAACACGGGCTGCGGCAGCATCTGATCCAACAAGCGTGGGGCTGAAGTTTGTGCAAACTGGGGGTGGCACCTCCCATACTCCCCTCACCGGGTCTTCTCTCTCCTGCTCTCTCTCCACATCTCACTCACTCTTTTGTGGGTTGTTTGCCTCTCCTACTCTTTTACTTTTTCCTTGAGCATTAGGGCCTATCAGTGCAATCACAGCTGTGACTTATCCTGCCTTTGAGTTTTAAAAGCACCTCCTGTGGATGGTCCCTGGGACACGCAGTTCCCACATGGCAAGACTGAAGCACCAGAGGTTCCCACGTCGCCCAAGAGTGCGTGGCTGAACTAGCTAATAATCAGGTAAAAGCGCCCGTTTTCTGCCTTCGCCGCCTCCCTGAGTCTCGCACCTGCTCAGACAGGCGCTGTGATGGGGATGCAGCAAAGGAGCAGCCATCGCCCGGGAGGCTGTGCAGATGGCGCGGGAGTGGGGGCGCGGGCCCGGTTCTCCAAAGGGAAGGCGACTCGCTCTCAGTGCAGCAGGAGGACCCACTCGGCTGGCGAGCTGCTGGGTGTGAGTTTGGGGACACAGCTGCCAGAGAGAAAGTCCTTCTTGGGCAAGCAGAAGGCTTCGTGATTCCTTCCGCTGGCCATGCCGCAGCACCGATGTCACTGTTTGCCACACGGCCCAGCTCCTCAGCTCGTCCAGTCCCCCAGGGGACCTGAGATCTGGCCCCCGCAGCGCCCAGCCCCGGGCCACCCTGCACAGCAGCCCAGGCGCATCTCCAGGCAGGAAAAGGAGCAGGAGGTGAGGCAGACACCAGGCCGGAGCTTAAAGGAGGGAAAGGAATATGTGTCTCCTTCCACTCTCCCCTCTCCCCCTCAAACCCCGGCTAAGACCAACTCTAAAACTGAAAATAAGGGCTGGGGGGGGGGGGGGGGGCGTGGGGGGAGATGTGAAGAGAACAGCCCTGAAGGAGAGCCGTTTTTGACCAGCGGGGTGGGAAGAGGTCCCCTCTCCCCTCTCCTCGCAGTTGGCAAAGTGGTTGATTGTGCAACCTGTGAGCCCAGTGCGGCACCTCTTATCTGGGCCTTTTCGTCCGTTAAACTGACAAAGGGGAACTGTCCCCACACAGGGCCCACAGTGAGCTCCGACTGGCGCTGGGGCAGGTCTGGGGTCGGCCCCTTCCAGGTGCTGGCTCTTTGCTCACCAGGGACCCCTTCCCCGCCCTGCTCGGCTCCCCGAGAGACTGCACCACGGGAGGCCACATGTGTGGAGTGAGGGTGGCATTTGGTCTTGGCTTCCCAGAGAGAACCAAAGCCGAGTTAGTAAGTTAACCCTCTACAAGCCACCTGGAACCCTTGAATAACCAGGAGAGCCTTGCCCTGGTGGAAACATCGTCTGGAGTCAGAAGTCTCTGGGGAGATGTCTTTGAGTCCTGGGGTTGGAGCAGCCAGGCCCTCCGGGATAGAGGCACCAGGGCAGGTCCGAGCTTGCACTGGGCCTTGGCGGGCTGTGGGCCACATGTGCCGAGGACACCGGCCAGGCAGGCTGGCCCTGAGCCCTTCTCCTGGGTTTGGCTCCCTCTCAGCCCTGCCTCAGGCCCTGGATCTTCCCTTACTTTGCCCAGTTTCCTGTGACATTGGAAAGATTGTGGTGTCTACCATTATGCTCTGAATGATAAAAACGATTCCAAACCATCAGTTTACAAATTTCAGAGTTCTAATATTCTCATCATTAATAGTAATGCAGTTTCTCCTCCTCCTCCTCATTCTTTTCTCCTTCAAGCATCAAATGACTTCAAAACATTTATTTTATTTGGTGTCTCGAGGATGGGCTTAACTCTGAGTCAGTTCCATTCTTGCTCTTGGCAAACAGTGTCCAGCTGAGACATGTGCCCCTCTGTCACCAGGACCCCATCCACCCACCAGGACAAATTCACCAGTCCAGTGACGCCGCTGGCCCTTGAACTGCAGCTACGGGTGCCCCTGGTCTCCTTAGATTGAACTTGAGCCAGGAACCACCAGACCCAGGTACCATTCCAGGCTTCAAAGTGACCAGAGCATCACTGAAGTCCTTTCCAACTACTGCAGTCTTTGCCACACAGCCCTTTCACGGTGGTACCTCCATCACCCCTGCCTCCTGCTTCGTTTTCATCTAGAAAGCAGTATGAGAATGAGCGAAGGCTGAGTAGCAATTCACTCCCGAAATCAGGGATCAGATCAAGTTGGGGGCAGGTTGAACATGACGCCCAGACCTGACATGCTGACCACTGGGTGAATTATTTTCACTTCTGTGAAAAAGGCCTCTCATGGTGCTTCACCCGAAGCCTGCTGCATCTTAAAACCACTGGTGTCACGAGCTGTCTTATGGAAAGTGGAAATGGGCAGGATGTGGTTTGAACTGACAAAAAAAAAAAAAAAAAAAAAAAAGAAAGAAAGAAAAAGAAAAAAAGGAGGCAGCTCATTTCTCTTCAGGGAAATGTTTGAAGTGATGGCAAGGGTCAGACCAGAGACTGACATGGAGCCAACAGGCCAATCAGGCCCAGATCAGCCAAATCAGCTGCTGATCAAAGGTGGTAAAACAACAACAACAACAAACATATATGCACATAACAACCAAAACACAAAAATACATCAGCTAAACATATTCCTAGTTTCCAGGAGTAAAACTTTGTAATTATGTAGCAACTTGCACATGGCAAGAAACACTCACCTACATGCGATGCTCATGACAATCTACAGAGAATGCAGAGCCGGGCTGCTATTCTCCAGAGAAGAGCACTGAAATAGGGTGTGGTTATACAAAGGTGAGTTACAAAGAGGTTGCGGGTATCCAGGACTCCTGAGGCCCCATCCAGAGCCACATTTGGTTCTCCTGAATCCATGTAAGCAGAGTCCCATTTCAAAGGAAGAAGTGGGTCCCGTATGTAGAGACCCCTTGAGTCGTCGTGCTGCCTTGGGCAGGAAGCCACATTCCAGCCTTACTGTGCACCCTGGTGCCTATCACCTTACTGGCCCATTGAGACACTAAATAAAGTCTGTTAACTCAACCATCTATATATATAAAAGCCTAAGCAAACGTCACAACCAAATGGATGACTCAACAGGTGGCATGGAGTGACCAGGCCCGCAGGGGGGTCAGTGAGGGGCAATCAAATGACCAAGCAGCAGGCTGCGTGGACAATCAGGCAGTGAGAGATCACCAGGACAGTGGGGGTGGAGCAGTTGGGGTGACCTGGTTGCCATTGGGGGTAGTAAGTGGCGACCAGGCTGGCAGGGGGGACCATTGGGGGTACCAGGCCAGCAGGGGAGCCAGTTGGGGGTGACCATGCTAGTAGGGGGGCAGTTAGGAGCAATCGGCAGGCAGGTAGGCAGGTGAGCAGTTAGGAGCCAGTGGTCCTGGATTGTGAGAGGGATATCTAACTGCCAGTTTAGGCCCGAGGCTGGTGGCCAGCTGGCTGGTGGGGTGGCAAGGTGGTTGCAATGAGGCACACGTGGGTGGGCAGGGCCATGTGAGCGATTTTTTTCACACTGGGCCTCTAGTTGATTATAAATAATGAAAGCACCCAGAGGCCACTAATTTGCAAAGGTTTAGATACAGAATTCTCTGAGCTACTGAATGATCTTGTGGTGAGTGTTCCATGCTGCCATTCTGAGTCGGGGAGACAGTGGAAAAGCCCTTCTTAGGTTTCCTGGGAAGGAGAAGTGTGGATGTGAAAACAACAGGAGTGGATGAGTACCTGGAAACCAAAGGTGGCCCATGTTTCTCAGAGAGAGATAATCACCTGGCTCCATCACTTTCTATCCCAGGACCATTTCCATCAGACAAGTCCCACCTGCGGGACCTTTCTCCACGTATAGGTTAACATTTGATGTCCTTGCTGTGGGGAACTGTGTGGAGGAAGGTAATTATCCCAGCACCTTTGTTGATTGGCTGGTGTAGGTTGTTGCCTTTCTAAATGACTTTGGGGGAAGTGACATGATGTCTCTGGGTGTTCGTTTTCTCATCTCTGAAATCCGGGTGATGATAACAGCACCCACATTGTGGGTGGTCATAAGGATGCAGTGATGTCATCTGTGTAAATGCTCAGAACAGTGCCTGGCATGGAGTGAGTGCCCTGGACATGGCAGGGACCATCCCCCTCAGGGTGCTTGATGCAGGGTAATCGTTTTTAAATTATAAAACCTCAGCCTCCATTTTTCCCCCCTACACAGACATTATCCAGAGCAGCAGAGCTGTTTAATGTTGCCCTGGCTTCCTTCCCTCTGTTCTCAGTCTCTGGGGAGGAAGGGGGGAGGGCAGAGGGAAAAAGAAGGACACGCACGTGTGGCAAACACCACCCTGCACACACCTCTGAGACATTCATGCACTCACACACACTTTATTTTTAGCACACAAAAGTGCTTAATACATGATAAAGGTTACACTCCACATCTGTGGGGAAAGAAAGGAGGCTCAATAAATGAAGCTGGAACAATTATTCCTAATTATTTAGGAAAATTAATCTATTTTTATTCTTTAACCACACACCAGTTTTACAGATGATCAGAAATTAATGCCATCCCCAATCCAAAGTCAAATAGATGCATTTCAGAATGAAGGATGCCTTACTAAGCATAATGATGACAGAAAGAGAGAGAAAAAAAAGTACAGATGTGACCACATAAAACACCAAGCCTGTGAAAAATCACAAAAGTAATAAAATCAAAGAAGAAATGTCACACTAGATGAAAATATTTGTCATATATGTGAGATCCCATCATTCCATTGGGTGATTTATGTTTTTATTCACCTTTAAAAGCTCTTTGTTTATTAAGGAAGTCAGCACTTATGTCTCATATGAGTCATATACCATTATCCACATGTTTGTGGTAGTACCTGCCTCCTGAGAATATTTAACCCCTATGCAGTTAAATTTGTAATTCTAACAGAAATTAATTATAAGCTGACTTCATATATATATGTATGGCCACCTCTGATGCCACCTGAGATATGAATTGCCAAGAATAACAGAAGCTGAGTGATAGAACTGTTTGTTGTTAGAGCTTTCGTTGAGAGGGAATACACTGAATTTTAGATCTAGGCTCTTCTGCTGCCTTAAAAAAAAAGCACGCACACACACACACACACACACACACACACACACACACACAAAACAAAAAAAACAAAAAAAACAAAAAACACCAACCCTGGTAACTATTTTTGTTGGAATTTTGACATAAAGCTGCCATTCTTAAAGCCTTAGAGCCCTGTCTGTTTTCAATCCATGCCCTCATTTCTTTGTCTGAAACACCAGCCAAGTCACCAACTTTCACTGAATGTTTTTAGAGGCAGAAGCCAGGAAAGTTATCACACCCACGAGTGACTGGCTCCATGTTGAGTGGCAGGCACTGGCCGTTCCGTGATGTTATTATTCATATCTTTCCAAGTCTCCTTGATCTGTGTAGGCTACATCACAAGACGCCCATTCCTTGACTGCTTTCCATTCTGTTTTCAAGCTGGGCGTGTGGTATTTCCCAAACAAGATCTAGAACAGGTAGGCATGAAATCCAACCCTCATGATTTCATTAGGTGTCTTTAAATCTCCATGAAGTTTTTATTAGTTCTGGTAACCAAGAAAGAAAGAAAGAAAAACAAAACAAAAAAAACCCCAGCAAGTCATTTGTTAAAGTCATAAAGCTGAACTAAATGGATAAGGTCTTCTAATTGACCTCGAGGAAGCTCAGGGACACTGTAGATCAGCTGCTAAATGACTTGTGATGTCTCGATTTAGAGTAGATGTCTGGCTCCCTAGCAGATTTGTCTGCCCATAAATTTCTCGATTAGGCTAAAGGCCTCTGCCAACATAGCCAGAACTTCAATTCAGTATGTCCTTCATTTGAGCTAATATCATGACTGAAAGCACATTCGCTCTGGGTGACACAATATTTAAATTTAAAATTGTGTTCACAGTTCATTTCCAAGACATCAATTTATTAGTGTAGGTGGGAGATGGAAACCACCAAGGTTGTAGCTATGATGCTCTAGGAGGTTTATTAATTGAAACTGTAGGCTAAAAGCAGAGGATCTGTCTGACTTCATCCTGCCTGCCAAGGATGCCTGGTTTTCAGTACATTAGTGCCCCTTGTGGGAAATACTGCTAAACATTTATTTTTTTTATGGTTCAGTTCAGGCTCCACAAAACATCAATGAAATGTCCAAAGTAAATTCTTAGTATAAGTCACTGGCATTGAACATACGTCAAGAGCTTCTTGCTATATCTCACTCTCCTGTTCAAAAGAGAACAACTGGTTAAAGAAGCTGCATGGAATTTGGGGCTGATTTACCAACTTTTCTACTTGTCAACTATTGGAAGAAGAGATAGATGGGCAACATATTCCATTTTAAATGGTTATGTTTTCTCTTTGTTGTTGTTGCTAGCTCCTAATACTTTTTCACATCAAGAAAAACAGGCTGATAATAGGAATGTGAAAATCCTGCCTAGGAATACTAAAAAAACACACACCTTAATGTTGGTTTTATGGAACTTTTCTTTCCCAAGCAAGCAGCCCATTTTCTTGTGGGTAGAAAGCTTCCTCCTAACACATGTAAGTGAAGAGGTCTCTCGAGCAGGAAGAGTCAGGAAGGATAAAAAAGAATAGGTACAACTACGGATCCTGCCAAAACAAGATTGCATTGGATTACATTACTTCTTCTGTTGATTCCTGAACAATGGTAAAGCAAAGCCATTGACATTGGCTCAAATATCCCAAGAATTAATTGAACATTAAAGAAATGAGGCTACTTGTGTTCTTTTGTTTTTAAGCATGAAATGGAATATTCAGACTCTCCCAGCAGTGTTCCCAGGTAGTCTACAATTTGCACATCAGTTGACATTTTTATCTTCTTATCATCTTATTAATTTCCTTCCTATTCCTTATCCTCCCATCAACTTTACAATTTCCTAAATACCAGAAACAAAGGGAAGGCTGGGCCCTCTACAGCCAATTTACAGAAGATCTAGAATTTCCTTTCTGTGGGGCAAGCACACCCTATTTCTGCATAGAAAGAGCCAGGACATAGTGTACCATCTCTCAGGGGTTCTCCCCTGGTATCAATGGGGGAAATCCTTCTTTAAATTCCCTTGAGATGTAGAAATTACTTGTGTAGTGTATATGACACTCATTCCACACACTCAGATATGTCATAAATAACATATCTTTATTTTATTTAAATTAAATAAGACCTTAAACCTGCCTTCCACTGGGCTGGCAGAAGATTTAGTTTCATTCTTGATTGGCAAGTGGGGTTCCCCCTTTCCCTAGGACAAAAGTGTGAAGAGGTCCTTGCCTGGGAAGGGAGGGGAACCAAGACTCAGGTGATCTCCTGAAGAGAGGTAACCCTATTGCTTTGGGGTCAAGCTTGAGCAGGGAATCTCTGACAAGTCTGGGAGCCCCATGGTCCAAGACTGAGCCTCATCAGGGACCCCACAAGCCATCTTTTCAGAAGTCCTTCTGCAACACCAGGCACTGCCAGGGAGCAAGGATTAAGATCTACTTCTCTCTGTTGGAAGAGGCTGCCATATTGCCCACATAAGACACACTAAGCTTCCTTCCCTATTTTGGAGTGTTTTCTCTCCCCCCAACTCTCTCTGCATTTCCCATATGTTCTGTCTTTTCATCATCTCTCCAATCATATCCATCTGGGGATACCTCATAGTAGGGTAGTGTTACCCGCTTATGCTTTCCAAAGAATCAGACCCCAACCTCCCAAAACATTGGTCTTTAACTCAGCCCCTTTGAGAAACTCTGGTTTCTCTGAACACTAAGGGTCTGAAGGCAACTTCTGCTTTCCCATTACACTTGAAATCTCTTAGATAAGTCCTAGTCATTGTTGATTCTTTGTTTCTTTTTTGTACATTTTAATGCACATTTATTTACTTAAACACATTAAGCACACCTATTTCACATTTGGTCTCTAATCACTGTATCACTTGCTGTCTTTGTATCTCTTGTTCTGTGGTTGTGGTTTCTGTTGACTCTC